AACGTTTTAACAAAGTTCCTGTCGTTCCGGGTCCGCGAGGTCTGACGCTGCAGGTGCCCCCTAAGCAGAAGGGCGCTGCTGTCTCCGCCGCACGTTGGACCCGCAGGAGGAAAGTCGGAGGACGGAGATCGGAAAACGTCGCTGCCAAAGCACCCGGCGGCCAGATAAAAACGGTGCAAACTAAACCTGCTCGAAACGTTTCTGAGACACCACGCAGTGCCTACTCCATGTCTTGTTACGTAGTAGATTTTTGGAAAATATTTTTGTCAGTAATACTGACGCTCAGAAAATTTAAAAGATTTTCTAGAGAGAGGTAAATCATGGCTTTTTAGGTCCCTAACACGTTCGGTGCGGTGCGAGCCCGGGCAGCGTGCAGGAGAGGCCACCTTAGACACCGGGTCCCCAAATGTCCTTGGCGCCACCACAGCCTATGGCACCACATGTGTTCTGGGCCTCGGTGGTGAGCGGCGCTCCGTTCCCCACGGCGGCTGGTGATTTCCAGGCAGGAGGTGTGAGAAAAGCAAACCCCTGCCGTGGAGGTGCCTGCTTTGCCGACTCAGCAGAAAAGCACTGTCCCCAGGCCCCAAGTGTCACCAGCAAGATTTGCCCCCAAAGACCAAGATCAGGGACCACGGGGCAGCATCCAAGAGCCAACTCCGGGCCTCACAGGAGTGTCACAGCCAGTGGGGATGTCCAGCAGCAGAGTCCAATCCAAGGACTGTGCACTTGCTGAGCGGAGCGTTGGGACATGCTGGAGTCACCTGGGGAGGGAAGGTCCCCTCCCTCCTGCCGTGTCAAGTACAGTGACAGCGTCTTTCCTTAGCAGTGCGGGGCCCTAACGTGCCCACACTTAGGGCACGTGCTCCAGCGGGGGTGTCGCCAGACAGCTTCCCGGCCACGTTTGGTGTGCGTGGCGCTGTCCCGCGCAGAGGCAGAAACTTGCCAGCCGTCTGTTTCATGCGTTAAAGGTGGAGGGTGTCCTGAGGTGATGCCTGGAACCAGGGATCCCGGCGCTTGCGACCAGCTCGTCACGGTCTGTGTCCCGAAACGGCTGGTGGACACTGGCGACGTCGCGACTGTCACGCGGTCAATCTGGGTGCGTGGTTTTGTACAATTAGCGGAGCCGGACGCCGGCCGGTCCTCCTCCTGTGGATACCCTCACCCTCCACGGCCAAGGTCGTCCGCACCCTTGCACACCTATTAAAGACCTTAACGGCAACGCTTACTGTTGTTATTTTCATTAAAAGCAGATGTTTCCGGGAAGCAGCAATTTTTGAAACCACTTTTTAAAAGTAGATTTTATTCTTAGGGCAGTTTTGGGGTCACAGCAAAATTGAGGGGCAGGCACAGGTTTCCCACGTGCCCCCGCCCCACGCACAGCCTCCCGTCAGCACCCACAGGGGTGCACGACTTACAAAGGACAGCTCATCACCCAGGGTCCCCTTTACATCTTGGTGCTGCACATCCCATGCGTTGGGACAAAATGTTTGATGCCACGTGTTTCCTGTGATGATGGTACAGTTGTCTCGCTGCCTTCGTGCTCCCCACCCTCCTCCCCGTCCCCTCCATCACACACTAATCTCTTTACTGTCTCCATCGTCGTGCCTTTTCCAGAATCTCGTGTCACTGGAATCATGCAAGACGTGGCCTTTTCGGCTTGGCATCTTTCACTTAATAGCTTGTACTTAGCTTCCCTCCACATCTTTTCCAGGCTGGGGGAGGCCATTTTTGAAAGGAAAATAATGGACTTCTGCAAGTTCATCTCAGGGGTTCACATTGGGCCCCCTGTGACCGCCGTGCCCGTGGCAGAGACAAGGGTGTCAAGCCTGAATTGGCACCGAAGCCGGGATCTTCGGACTCTGGCCGACCAGCACCGTGGGGACATCGGCTGGCAGGTGCTCTCGTCCCAGCCTCCCTGAGAGTCGAGCGAGGCTGAGCCCAGGCTGTGGTCACGGCCTGTCCGCCACCCATGGCGCCTCTGCCGACGCCCTCCGCCTTAAATTCTGTTCCAGGCGGCATGAGGACAAGCATGTCTGGGGAACGGATACGGCAGTGAACGGCAGGGTTATTAGAACGTGCTGCCCCAGCCTGTCACCTGAGCACAGACAAGCCGGCTTGCCCGCCCGGGCCTGGGTCCGAGTGGTGGTCAGTCTCTGCTGCGCGTGAGCCAAGACAGAAAGGAGGGTCCACTGTCTTGGTCTCAACAAACAGGACACAAGCAGCGACATGTTTTTATACACAGCTTCTCCCTGTGTCGCACAGAGGGGAGCAAGCCGGGCGGCTCACCACACCACGTCTTCCGTGCTGTCCGCCAAGCACTGGGCGAGGTGGCTGTCGATGTCCAGCTGGGCCAGCCTGCGAGGAAGAGAAACGGTCACTCACAGTGCAGGGACCGCGGCCGGAGAGGTCGGAGAGGTCTCCATGGCTGGTTGAAACAGGTGGGGCCGTACCCACCAGGAAAGGCCTTTCCAGAACCTGTTCCCGGGTCAAGGCCCCACGTGTGCCTGGACAGACACACCCTCAGGCTCCCGCTCAGGCTGGCGACCGTGTGCACGAGCCGGGGGCACTGTCGGCCTGTGAGCCAGCTGATGGTGAAGGCGGGTGCCCAGTGGGTTCAGGCCTGCGCCTCTCCACGTCACCTGGCCTGGGGGAGCCCCACGGACTCAAGGCAGAAACCTGTCGCGGAGCTCCGCAGCAGGGGTCGTCGGGGCACAGCACTTCACACAGTCTGTCAAGTCCATCACGTCAAAGAGTGACACAGGTCTGAGTGGCCCAGAAGAGGCCGAGGCGTGCAGGGGAACGGAGGACACCAGCGGGCGCGTCCTGCCGCGCTGCGCCCCTCAAAGCGCGCGCCCCGCCGGGAGCACCGCCCTCCCAGCCCGGCGGCTCCAGACAATCACTACTCGCATTTTTCTAAACACAGTCACAAGACCGCACGACAGCAGTTGCTGTGTCCAGCTGCTAAACCCGACCCTCGCGTGGGTCCTGTCCCAGGACCCCAGAGCGCCCAGCCATGGCGGGGAGGGGGCCTCGTTTCCGACACACAGGACATCTGTGGTCTCCCCAGTCCTCACTGAGCTGCGGCACGTGTTCTGGACCAAGTGCCCTCCCCTTTATAAGCAGATGGAAGAACGTGCCAGAAGCGCTGCAGGCACGCTGAGACCGAGACCCCACTGCGCTGGCCCTACTTTGAAAGAGTAAGCGCTTCATCAAGCTTTAACTGCTTCAAAAGCTCAAAACCGGAGGCTTTTTTTCTAACACCCCTGTCTTCAGGACCCTTTTCTTAGACTGTGTAGAAATGCAAGCAACCCAAGGACAAAGACCCCCAGAACGGGACAAGGCGCTGGGAAGCCCAGGCGGCGCCAGGAACCTCAGGGGCTTCCCCGGTGCCTGAGTCCTCCCGCCGGGCATGAGTCACGAGGCTTCACTCCGCGTTCGCGGCCTCGTCGGAGCTGGCAGTCGACACTGCTGCTCACGGCCATCCCAAAACGCCGGGTCAGGACACACGGCCAGTTCTCCAGCGGGCACTACCGGGGCATCTCCCGTGGGCCACTTTACCTAGCAACAGGTCCCACCAGGGGACAGCCACTGCCTCGCCCACACCACCACTCTCGTCTCCCCCAACCCCAAGCTGTTTGGGTTCTACCTGGAGCTGGGAAGGAAGTTCTGAAGGGGTGGCGTCTAGGCTCAGCCCAGACACGGTCCCCATGACACAGCACCCACTGATGGAGCCTCGTTACTGACCTCAGACGGCCGTTCATCTCTGCCTGAGAAGTCCCAGCCGAGGGCCCTCTGTGTGCGTTTGTGCTGGGAAGGGGGGCTCCCCCAGGCCAAGTGACTGGCTCGAGGGGCTTTTTGTCATAAGTTAATTCTGGAATGTTTTTCCCTTCACCCTCTGGGGCCATTTCTGCTTCTGGAAGACCGGGGACACCACATGGAACACAAGCACATGGTCTGGCCACACGGTATCCGCAGCAGTTCCCAAAATTTGCTGTCCATTCATCGCACCCGGCAGAGGTCCCCCCTGGCAAACGGACCCCCGTGCTCCCCACAGCTGTGTCCTCAGCTGTGTCCCACCCAGCCCAAAAGCTGGGCGGTTTGGGTTTCACTTATTAGCAAAATTGGATTCCATCCCCCTACTTAAAATGAGGCATAAAGATATATATTGGATTTTTTTAAATAGAAAAATACCTGCAGACAAATCAAAGTCTTCATTTTTAAAACCTCCAACCCAGCCCTGGGAAGGTTCTCGGGGTGCAAAGCAGGAATTCACACAGGGACCCACAGCTTGGCCAGCCCCTGGAGGCGGTCTCAAGCCCATCTGGTTCCCTCATGTTGGCGTGGGCTGGGCCAGAGGGGAGAAGAGGCTCCCACCTGCCCGCTGTACTCCACAGGTTGTCCCCTCCCCAGGGAGAACACCCCTGCGGGCAGGCCACCCCACCACGGCCAGACCAGCAGGTGGGCCCCCAAGCCCACAGTCCTGTGTCCTCTGGCTGATCCTCAGTCACTGGCTTTGCCAATTTTCTGTGCAAGAAGTCTTACTTTTACAAGGCCAAAGCCGAGCTCAGGCACCTCTCAGCCCTCTAACAGCGGCTGGGCTCGCCCCCAGGCAGCAGAGGGGAGAGGAGGCCGGGGCTGCTGCACTCACCCTGGGGCGAAGTCGGCCTGGCACAGGGGGCAGCTCCGTAGACTATGCGCCCCTTCCGCCGGTGGCTGCTCCTGGGCGCAGGGAATCTCGTGGGAATCCGGCGTGCAGGGTCCCTGCGGAGAACAGGCGGGGGACCCCGGGTGCTCACCGCCCCCACGGAGCACCCGATATGAGCGGCCTGGACCCCCACCTCCTCTCGGGGGCGGCGGGAAGGGTGTCCAGTAAAAGGTCTCCGATCCTACGGTGAAGACCTCGGGGGATGCGGTGTGCTGGGGGCTGCTCCTGGGCTCCTGCAAAAGAGAGTCGTCGGATGGTGACAAAACGGAGCGGCACCTGGCCCAGAAACCCCCCAGGCCACCCTGTGGGTCCCGACGCACGCACCTGGCCGGGGAAAGCGGGCAGCGGCGGCAGCTCGCCGTCCAGGCTCCAGTCCGCGCTCACTGTGCGCTGCAGCTCGGCCCACAGCTGCGCACTTTCGCCGTCGCCGGCCTGGAGGGACCCGGGGCGGGAGCTCGGGGACCTGGGGCGGCACAGGGGGAAGGTGCGAACTCAGCGGGGCTGGGGGAGACCCACTGGGGAGCGAGTGAGAAATGATCTGGGGAGAGACCCAGCCGGCAGGGTGAGAACTCAGCGGGGCGGGATAAGCGGGGAGACCGGGGCGGCCGGGGTGCGGGAGTAAGAACTAGGCGAGGAACCAGCGTGCAGAGCAGTCGGCTCGGGGGTGACGGGGCGTGAGAACTCAGCCGGGGACCCAGCCGACGGGGCGGACGGTGTGAACAGAACTAGGCGGGAAGGGGCCCCAGCGGGTCTGGTCCGGGAGGGGCAGGTCCGAGGCGCGCTCCGGGGCACACGTGGGACTATGACACCGGCCACTGCCCGGCCTGGGACACTGGGCCTCCCACCCGGCCTCGCCCCGCTCCTCATCCGCGTTAAGTCCCAGACCCCGGCCTCACCCGCC